TTGACAGGGGGAGTCATGCAGATGTAGGCTCACGGATAATTTTCCTTTTGTTAGAGGACCGTGTGAGTGTAGACCGGGCACCAGCCAGTTTGAGTGAATAACAGTTCTAATGGGCGTTTGGGCAACTGCGGTCGAGGATTGAAGCTTGGGAAGGGGGGCGAAGCGAAAGAAATAAAATGAATGTCAGCAGTGACAGTGGACAAGTGAAAAGCGGACAGGTAGCAGCTTCCCAGATAAGTGGTAAGAATCGTAGTTTAACTGAGGTTTACTACATCAACCTAACAGGAAAGTAAGCTTAAGGATCACCAGTCGCCGAGTCAATGCCGTCAACTCGAGGAAACCAATGGTGCGTGGCAAAAGAAGCCATTAAATGCTAGCTGTGACTGCTTGTAATCAAGAAATCATAAGTCTCTGTGAGGCCCTGAGCACTGTGTGGTGGCACCAAGAAGTAATATTTTTTGGTGGCGCTCCCAAGAGGCTCGTGTTCGCGGAGGACTTCAACTTAAAACCAGCCAGCAGTTTTCTAATCTGGCGAATCTTATGTAGCCTGTTTGACTGCAGTCGCTTTTCTTTCATCTGTGTGGACACCCGATCCGCCGGCGATCAGCATGGCCAACTGGATGTACGAGGGATTTTCTGGATGGCTGTAGTCGTGTTTATGGCTTTGGTTGTCGGGCGACGGTTTTGTCCACAAGCAGTGAGGCCGCTTTTGACAAAGTGGAGCTGGAGGTTGGCTTCGCTTCTTGTCCCCGCACATCTGGCTCAGTCCAATTCAGATGCTGTGACTTTGCTGAGCAGTGCACGGCTTCAGCTGCGTCCTCTGATACGGAGATAAACGTTGATAGCTCTGCGTAGTTTGCGCGCTGCTTGCATGTGGGGTTGGACTCCTCCAGGGCGTCCCTGCCTTTGGTGGGCGGGAGGCCTGTGGTGGTCGAATAAAAACTGCAGTCCGGAGACGCAGCTGGTTTCGTTGGCCTGCTTTCGGGAGCACAGGGGGATATGACCACAGCCGGCTTGGTCATAAGTTTGAGGTCTGCTGAATTGGTGCACAGTGGAAGCCTGTTTTGTGCCTCAACCCCTGACCTGCTGTGACCAAGCTTTCGCGCGTCTAGAGGGCGCGAAATACGCCTGATCATTGGGTTGGCGTTTTGAATGCTGCCTGCCCGCTCCAAGATCTTCTGTACGTCAGATGGGGAAGAAAGTGACCAGAAGATTAGGAGTTCGTTTGCTTCCTTACTGGTGTAACCATTCTGCGTGGAGCGGTTGATCAGGCTTGGTGAGGACATTGATAAGGATTGATTGTGCCAGCTTCGCTGACGTGAAATTTTCCGGAGAATGAACCTCAGTCTATCAATCTGTTTTCCCTTAGGCGCCTGTCCACTAGAGACGCTGTGGCAGTCTTTATAGCCACGGCAGAGAGTTGTATTACTTTCTTCACAGCCAGAGGACCCGGTATAGATATCGCGAGGTACCCGTTCAGCGAAGAGAGTTCTTGTCAACTTCCGTCCAAGTCGCTGCATTCTTGGTGTCTGAATCCTCCAGTGCCTTAGAAAGACGCTCTAATTTCGAGTCGAGTATCCCGATCAAAGCGGAGCACTGACATCGGTCTTTCTGAATCTGCAGGGGGATCGGGTACCGTTTTTGGGGGCTATCCTCTCGGCTGCGGTATGCATTGCACCCTTAACGTAGAGGAGGCTGGCGCAGACAAACGGGTCAGGAGAGTTAGCTAGCCGGCTTATCTGGTCGTCCTGTAAACCCGTACGCTTGAAGTGCCACCAGGCCTTGCAGGTGTGGCATTGCATACCGGGTTTGACTTTCGACGGACAGCCATTTCGCCCACATCTGTTGTAGTCCATCAATGGATGCAGAGAGCAATCGGTAAAAGTTGATGTCATGTTTAGGACTAGATGTAAAATCATGTAAATATCATGGGTTATCTCTCAAAAGTTTTGTTAAAGTAATAAAATTCAACAATTACTCGTGTGTACCCTGTGAATATATTGAATAACGAAAAAAATTCTTTCACAAACTTGCAGGAGGGAAAAACGAAACCGATTTCGAACGTACCGCGTCAGAAATATGGGGACTGTCGCTGATCAGGCTTATCCGAGCAGCAAAATTGTCGCCACTGCGTGGGGCTTGATTGTTGTTACTGGAAGAATAAGTTGGTCTGTGGGCGGAAATTTACCTGTACACAATGGGTAGACCGGTGAGTTGGACTGATGAGGTAGGCTCAGAAGACTATGGTAGTCCTGCTGGCTTATGTATTACGCTCGGCCAGGAAATAGTAGTTGTAGGCAAGTCGTCAGACTGAACGTGGCAGTCGTGTTTCCCTTATCGCGTGTTCATAGTTGGGTTCGCGGATAGCACCATACATGAACGTTTTATGCGCTTTATTCGTGCTATTGAGATAGCTAAGGTAAGAAACAGATCAGCGACAGAGTTAAATCAGCAAAGGGCGATGTCCTTTCGGGTTTATTGATGGTGTATCCTGGTTTTTTGCATACATCCGCGCAAGGCAACACGAAGCTTCATCCAAATGTGAGACTCAAAATTAGAAAATGGGGGTTCCGACAGGCACCGGGCCATTAGGTAAGCTGATCCATAAAACAAAACGCTCCCGGAACTTATCACAATTTCAAGCTTT